TGAGCTTATTCGTGTTCTGAAATGATCTGTGAGTTACACCTCTATGCTACGAGGAGTTGTGATTCGTTATATGCACACATGGTGCGGTTCTATTGAGGCCTTAGAGCGGAATTTGAGCGAGATGAGTATTTGGGTATTGCATGATTGATTGCGTATTGGTTATGTTATTCCAGGTTTCGTGTGGCACTGCGTCATCTGCTTCTCCGTGGTTATGGTAATGCACTTGGAGTACTTGATGTCGAATTGTGCGTGGTTATTGATTTTGAGTAGGGTGGCTTGAGGTATATAAGATGGACAAGTGTTTGGATGCGGTCACGCGTGGTAGCAAAGTTATGTTGAGGTATGATCCTTTGTGTTAGATTCGTGTGTTATTGTTCTAGGGTGTGTGATGGATTTTTAGCATTCCGTTGTGGTTGTACTTGTTAATCTTATGGGACAGTTCTCTCGTTTGAGTCATTTTCCATGATTGAGTGCATTGGAATTTTGCTTATTGGTGCACAGATTGCACGAGTTATGGCTTTAGATTGTATTGATGTGACATGTCACTAGAGTGGTCGTGTTGGATGAGATGGGGTCATTGGACCTAGAATGGATACTATCAGGTTTGATTACAGCATGTTTGAAGGATAATATTGGAAGTCGGCTTAGAAATTTGCTATAGTTATTGTCGAAGGAGAGGGAGCTCCATGACTTGTTGATCTGATGAATAGTTATGAGTTCCACATGTTTCTTTCATCATCGGCAGTGTACAAAGGTTTTAGAACGAGACTTTGTTTGATATGAGGTATTGGGTTATTTTGAACAACTACGTATTGTGATTAGAAATTATTGCTATGAGTATTTGAGTTATGCGGTATATCATGTAATTACATCTTGGGTTATGGTGAAGGTTTGATACAGCATTCACATTTATATAGTGTGTAAATATGAGATTCTGATCTTATAGAAATTCTGGATGTTGGAAATGGATTCTAAGGCTTATGGGCTAAGGTTGGAGTAATGATCTTCAGTTATGTTGTGTTGTCGGGCCTATATGGAATAGGGTGACATGGGATCACCCCCGGGTATGTACATGGTAAGGTTACATGGCGGTTTGATGACTTTGAGAACAACTCTAGGCACGTTCGAGGACGAACATATGTTAGTGGGGGAGGATGTAAAGACCCGACCACTCGTTTTGAGCATTTACACTCCGCCCGGTGCTTTGAGGCATACGTAGCTCCTTATGATGTATTATGACTTATGTAAATCATCGGTTTTGGTTTTCAGGTTATTCGAAAATGATTTGGAAGAATGATTCTCAACTAGGAAGATTTAAATTAGAAAGAGTTGACAATTTTGACATTTTAGTAGTGGACCTCATATTAGAGTTTTGATGGTTCTGTTAGCTCCTTTGTGTGATTTTGGATTTAGGAGCATGTCCGGAGCGTGATTTGGAGGTCCGTGGTTGAATTTGGCTTGAAATGGCAAAAGTTGGATAATTTTGGAAAGTTTGGTTGGGAGTGGACTTTTTGATATCAGATTCGGATTGTGGTTCCGGGAATTGGAATAGCTTTGTTATATCATTTGGGACATGTATGCAAAATTTGGGTTCATTTCGGGTTGATTTTCTATGTTTTGGCACGAGTTTTAGAAATTGAAAGTTCATAGTTTAAAGATTTCGATTTGAGGTGCGATTCGTTGTTTTGATGTTGTTATGTGTGATTTGAGATCTCGAGTAGGTCTGTGTTGTATTAATGGACTTGATGGTATGTTCGGACGGGGTCTCGAGGGGCTCGGGTTAATTTCGGACGTAGTTCAGATTATTTCAAATGGCTTTGCGTTGCTAGTTTTTCTGTTGTTACCCGTTGCTTCTGGCGTTCTTCCCGATCGTGAAGGTGTGGCCGCGATCACGAAAGGTGTTTTGGTCAGGGGAGCTATTTGTTCTTCACGTTTGCGCTTCTTAGGTCACGTTCGCATTGGGTTGAAATTTTTGTCTTCGCATCCGCTTCCATTGCCCTGCGTTCACGTAGTGTTGAAGTTTGGCAGCTGGGAGTTGAAGAAATTTTCAACGTGATCGCGAAATGTTATTCGCGTTCGCGAAGCTTTGGCATTGGTGGTCATTGCATTCGCGTGGGGTATATTGCAAATGCGTAGAGCCTTTTGTTAGAAGTGTGATTTTGTTCATTGCGAACGTGATGGGTTTCCCGCGTTCACGTAAGAGAATGCCTTGGCAAAAGTATAAACTACTCTATTTCGAGGGTTTCAACTATTTTAGCATTTTTGGAGCTATGGAGCTCGGATTGAGGCGATTCTTGAAGCAATTTTAACCATGTGGATTGGGGCAAGTGTTCTCTACTCGGTTTTGGTTATATTTCATGAATCTATCTTTATTTTGGCAATTGATTGATGGAATTTAAAGAGGAAATTGGGGGATTTAGCCTAAAGTTTCATAAAATAAATTTTTGAGTTTTGAACATCGATTTGGAGTCGGATTTAAGTGAAACTAGTATGGTTGGACTAGTAATGGATTGGGTTGTTGGATTTTGTGAGTTTTATCTGGTTCTGAGGTGCGGGCCCGGGTTGGGCTTTTGGGATGATTTTTGGGCTTTGATTAATGATTCAACCTTTTTCGATTGAGATTGGTTACTTTAGCATTGTTTGATGTATTTGAGTTATTTTTGGTTAGTTTCGAGCCGTTCAGAGGTCGGAACGCGCGGGATGACATTTTTAGAGCATCGCTTGGCTTGCTCGGTATTGGAATAGGCTCGTTCGAGGTAAGTAACACCTCTAAACTTGGTGCTGAGGGTATGAAACCCCGAATTACGTGTTATGTGTTTGGTGTTGAGGTGACACATGCTAGGTGACGGGCTTGAGAGCGTACACCATGTGAATCGTCGCTCCGTTATTTCTATAGTACTGTGTAGTTACCTAATCTTATTTGTAACCATAAAATCTCTACGTACTAAAGTAATTGAGCTGTTAATCATGCTAGAAATCATGTTTAGGCTATATGCTTGTACTGTTGGAATCCATAGTGGTCATTCATTGCTATTGACTTATTGATTTTATTGAAATTTCGTACTCAGTCATATTTATTCATTACATATCATATCTCACTCTCTGTTGTTTGCATCATATCATCATTTTCGGGCTAGTTTCATGATATTGTGAGCCCGTGAGAGAGGGACTGGAGAGATTGATGACTGAATGAGGCCGAGGGCCTGGTTGTGAGGATATTGATACTATAGCATGTGAGTTGTCCGTGTGGATTATAGCGCTTGGGCTAAAGGAGCCCCTCTGGAGTCTGCACACACCCCTAGTGAGCGCGGTTGATTATATTGAGGGATGGATCTTCCCTTGACATGGATCTTGTCCGAAGTATTTATATACTTGGGGATGGATCTTCCCCACGGGCTGGATTTGGCTCTACTCAGTACTGAGTGACTGTTGGTCGGTTGATGTATATATTCCGGGATGGATCTTTCCTGGGTCGGATTGGCTGTATACAGTACTGAGTGATTGATCATGATAAGTGGAAATTGTGAGACAGTGATATTGAGTACTCTGAGAGTGTGAGTACAAGAGTTCATCTCTATGATACATGGCATTGACATGCACACATGACATACATGCATAGAGATGTGTTTCCTCATGTTGTACGGTATCACGTCATTCGTGACTTCTCACACATATTGATATATGGGCATAGAGAGGTATTTCACACTTGCTATCTTGAAAGAAAAATGAAATATCTTATTTATTATGGAAAGGATTTTTGGGAAAATTGTATAGTTTTCAAACTTATTCATATTTTTGACGATTTCGGTAAAGGATTTGGGTTTTTGTTGATATACTTGAAAAGCGGAACTATTATTCGGGAAACTATGAAAAAGATGAGCATGTTATCTCTGAGTTACTTCTTTTATTACTTTATTTGCGTTTATATGAACCATTGTTGGCTATTGGATGTTGGACCCGACCTTTGTTCCAGCTCGTTACTACTTTCAACCTAAGGTTAGGTTTATTACTTATTGAGTACATGGGGTCGGTTGCACTCATACTACACTTTTGCACCTTGCATGTAGATGTTGGCTGTTGATGTTGCTAAGTTCGACGGGAGCTGGATTTGAAGATGTACCTGCGTTCCGATTGTAATTGCCTCTTGTTCATGGTAGCCTTAGATTTATAAAACTCGGTTTATGTACTTTTCAAATAGATGATGTATTTACTTCATACCAGCCTTGTAAACTCTATTCTTAGAAGCTCATGATTTGTACTACCAATCCTTGGGAGATGCATCAGATTCAAATATTTCTTTACTTAATTGCTTTATTAATAGTTATTGGAATTGGTTAGTTGTTAATTGGCTTACCTAGCAGGTTGGGTTAGGTGCCATCACGACTAGTTGGTTTTTAGGTCTTGACAGAAGAGCTCTTCTGTTGTATCGGTCTGTGTTGGATGGAGCCTTTGGTTGCGCTCTGGGACAACATGATGAAATCGGGAGGAAAGAACAGATGATATATTATCTGAATAAGAAGTTCACACCTTACGAGGCTTGGTACTCTTTATTGGAATGCACCTGTTGTGCTTTGACAAGGATAGCCGAGAAGTTAAGACATTATCTCTGTGCATACACTACATATCTCATATCAAGGATGGATCCACTAAAATAAATATTTTACAAACCCATGTCTATAGGTAAGTTAGCAAAGAGGCAGATATAGCTAAGTGAGTTCAATATCATTTATGTGACTCAGAAGGCGGTCAAAGGGCAAGCACTGGCCAATCATTTTGTAGAAAACCCTATAGACATAGAATATGAACCATTGAAGACGTATTTGCCCGATGAGGAAGTATCATTTGTAGGTGAGGATATTGCCGAAACATATGAGGGTTGGAGGATGTTTTTCGATAGAGCAGCCAACTTCAAAGGAGTGGGCATTGGGCTGTCTTAGTATCATAAACTGGTCTAACATTATCCAATATCCGCAAATCCCAAGGTCCTGTACACCAATAATATGGCAGAATACGAGGCTTGCATCTTGGGACTCATAATGGTCATCGACATGAACGTTCAGGAGTTGCTGGTAACCAGAGATTTTGATCTATTGGTACACCAGGTACTAGGAGAATTAGCTACCGAGAACACTTAAATATTGCATACTTGCATTGTGTACAAGAATTGATCAAGAGGTTCACAAAGATAGAATTTAAACATGTTCCAAGGATTCAGAACGAGTTTGCAGATGCATGGGCTACCTTGTATTCCATGATACAACATCCAAACAAGAATTTAATCGATCTTATCCCAATAGAAATTCGTAAGCAGCCAGCTTATTGTGCTCATGTTGAAGAGTTGTCTGACGAAAATCCATGGTTCCATGATATCAAGGAATACTTTGAGAAAGGAGAACACATGAGAATGCTACACACATCCAGAAGTGCACGCTTCGAAGGTTGGCCAACCATTTCTTTCAGAGCGAAGGAATTCTATATAGAAGAATGCCTGATTTAGGATTGTTGTGATATGCCGATACCAAGGAGGAATCTAGATTGCTCGAAGAAATACATGATGGAACCTGCGGACCTCACATGAATGGGTTCGTTCTAGCCAAGAAGATATTAAGGGCAGGGTATTTCTAGATGACTATGGAGATAGACTGCATCAAATATGTTCAAAAGTGCCACCAATGTCAGGTACATGCTGATATGGTACGGGTGCCACCCAACAAACTCAATGCAACAAGTTCACCCTGGCCTTTCTCTGCTTGGGACATGGATTTCATTGGACCAATTGAACATGCTACTTCAAATGGACATAATTTCATTTTGGTGGCTATAGATTACTTCACAAAATGGGCTGAAGTCGTTTCCTATAAAGCTGTAACTAAAAAGGTCATAGCAGATTTCGTCTGGGATCGTATTGTTTGTCGATTTGGAGTACCTGAGTCAATTATTACTAACAACATCGCCAATCTCAATAGTGATCTGATAAAAGCCATGTGTGAAACAAGAGGTCGAGCTCAGCAACACGAAATGGATACGGAACCGATATGAAAAGCTGTCTCTCATTGATGGCAAGAGGATGAATGCAATGTGTCACGGCCAACTCTACCAGAACAAAATGGCAAGGGCTTTCAATAAAAAGGTTAGATCGAGGCAATTCACATCGGGGCAATTGGTGTTGAAATGGATCTTCCCGCATCAGGATAAAAAAAGGGGGAAGTTATCACCTAACTGGCAAGGCCCTTACATGGTTCACCGAGTACTGACAGGAGGAGCGTTTATACTTGAAAACATGGATGGAGAAATATGGACGGAAACCTATCAATTCAGACGCAGCCAAGAGATATTGTGTTTAAGACTATGTTTGCACTTTCTATTTGATGTAACCTGAACTACGCTTGACCAGATTCCCATTTAAGAAGGGATACATAGGCAGCCCTGTGGGTTCGGTCACATCATAATAAAATCTTCATCCCCCCCCCCTATGGTCAAAAATTGGGGCAAGATTTCGAGTTTGCCAATCTCATTATGTCAAGGATTACCAAGAAGTGTATTGCCAGACGTATGCATTTAAACTGGGGTAGAATTTTGAGGAGGGTCCTCAAAATTTCAAGTTGAGGAGGTTGCACTGTCTCAAAGCGTGTCACGGTCTCCGATTCGAAAATTATTTATTTTATACATCATCACATATTTTGAACAAATACATTTTTATATAAATAATTTATCACAAATGCATATTTTTTGAAAATTTCATTTTCTGTAGTAGCCAGACATTATCTAGGGTGACTCGAACAAGGCCTCAAGACAAGGAGCAATGATGAAACGAAGAATCAAAGGCACGAACCAACCTTTCCCCCAAAACTCATGATTTTTCTTTTGATGCAGGCACAATGGACATAACAAGCACGTCCGCAAATATATACATATAATAATATCACTATCTTCAAACCGACATAAGTCACCAAGCACAAACACGTCAAGCTAAGGACCACTTTTTCCCTCCCACATTTAATCGTTGCTTTTCCTGCATAGGGCTAAGCTCTGCCTTTATCATTGCATAAGGCTAAATGTTGGCTTTCTCTGCATGTGACTAAACACTATCTCCATTACATTACATAGGGCTAAGCACTGCCCTCATCATTGCATAAGGCTAAACGCTACCTTTCTCTGCATGAGACTAAACATTGTCTCCATTATATTGCATGAGGCTAAGAACTGCCTCCCTTATTGCATAAGGCTAAACGTTGTCTTTCTTCGCATGATACTAAACATTGTCTCCATTACATTATATGAGGCTAAGTACTACCTTCATCACTGCACAAGGCTAAGCACTACTTCTCTTTGCATGAGACTAAGCATTGTCTCCATTATTTGCATAAAGCTAAACATATCCTCCATCACTGCATAAGGCTAAGCATTGCATTCCTTTGCATGAGACTAAGCACTGTCTCCATTACATCGCATGAGGCTAAGCATTGCCTCCATCACTACATAAGGCTAAGCACTGCCTTCCTTTGCATGAAACTAAGCATTGTCTCCATTCTTGGCATAAGGATAAACACTGCCTTCCTTTGCATGAAACTAAGCATTGTCTCCATTCTTGGCATAAGGATAAACACTGCTTCCATCACTGCATAAGGATAAACACTGCCTTCCTTTGCGTGAGACTAAGAACTTTCTCCATTACATTACATGAGGCTAAGCATTGCCTCCATCATTGCATAAGGCTAAACGTTTTCTTCCTCTGCATAGGGCTAAACACTCCCCTCATCACATACAAGGCTAAGCACTGCCTTGTCTTGTTCTAGTGTACAACTATGCATCGGCTATTCCCTCTATAGAACGATTGATATCTTTGCATCTTTGTATTTCATAGGTTGAAACATCGCCACATTGTCCAAGGCGTCATAATCTGAAGGCATAATCCTCATAGCTCGAAGACATCATGTCATGACCTGAGGATCTCTCGAAACTGCACATCATTATTCAAAGGCATCATAGTCCAGAGGCGCCATCTTTATGGCTCGAGGACAACACTTCATGGCCTGCGAATCCCTTATCATACGCTTCATGTCCCAGGATATCATGGTCTAAAGACATCATCCTCATCTTCCAAAGGTATCTCTCATGGTCTGAAGGGAATTTGCATCATATTTAAATTACGAAATAACCCCATATATTCGCGTGCATCGTGTTTTAAGTTTTGCAGGTAATTGGGGAGGTAACCATTCTACAAACAGGAGCAATTCTTGCTCCAGTTTTCATTCATAATGTTCACATTCTTTGATCATCTCAAACGAAACCGATGTTCAGCAATTGATTACCCATTATCCTGTAACAGCTCAAATGTTTTCCGTATACATCTGTAACATTCAAATTCACATTCATTGCTCCACCTGAAATTGTTCTACACTATCATATCCAAAAGATTCTCTTTTGAAGTACACGACCACTCTTATAACAACTCTATCGGTTTCGTTCGTCGTTGGATCTGGAACTACACACGACCTAATTTCCATAATACCGGGGATATGTAGGCAACTCAAGAACTAGGATTCGGCCCCCATTTTTTTTCAAAAAATGCCTCATCTTTGTTCATTCGGACAAAATTGATCATCATTTTCTTTACCCGACAACTCTTCCATCATTCTCGGATAAAGAGGGGTAGCTGTTGATACCCAATTTTGCCCCATATTTTATAAATGTTATATATACTTTCAAATATCATTTTGTACTATTATCCAATTTATACGGGTTATATAAGTATTTTCTATAATTTTAAGCTTCAAAATTAATATTTGTTTCATTCTAATTATTCAAATATTTATTTAATTATCCTTTTAAATCATTTAGGGTGATTTAATCATTCAAATTTATCATTTCTACCTACATGCATGTTTTATAATATTTTACTTTATTTTATATAGTTATATTTGCATTTTTATGCTAATTATATATTTTTTCAATAATAGCCTACACTTTGCAACTAATTGTATTTATTATTTTATTTAGAGTTAAAACAACTTTTTATATGTTTACAACCTTGAGCTATTAATTTAAAGTACTTAATTTCTTAAATAATAGCTTTTGTATCTATTTAGCAATTTTGTTAATTTATTTTTCCTTAATTTCTTTATTTTTTAAAACTGGCCTTTTCGGATCAAATAGGCAGCCCAGACACCCCAAACCCTTGGCCCAATAACCCCAACCCAAACCAAATGACCCCTGTGACCAATCCGGTCAGAACCCATTTAAAACAATTCGCCCCGCCTTCTTTAAAATTCTAGTCGCTGATCTCTTAAGATCAACGACCCACGATCAATCCCTCATTTTAATTACCCTCCCCCTAAACCCTAAGCATCACCTGTCTCTTTACAGCTGCCCTCACACGCTCTATTCTCCCCTAAGATGAAACAATAGACGACTGGGAGGATTCTCTTTTGCCCTTTCCTTGTACGCGTTCATACGCGGATTTCACTTACCTTAGTTGTTCTTCTTGCTCAGTTATAGCAACTTTTATTACCAGTCCATCTAAAGCAAGGCCGATTCTCTTAAATCAGGTAGATATAGCTTCGACCCTATGAATTTTGATGCAATCTTGGCTTTATACCTATGAATTTAGATATAGCTTCGACCCCTCGAAGGCTTAACGATTATTACTTGAGACCTTAAACACTGCTATTACTCTCTCACTCTCACATATTCTATTGTTCTGAAACTTGAGACCTTGGCCAGCTGAAATCCAAGGCCACCAGAGTTCGATTGTTCCTCTTTCTCAGTGCGAGCACTGCCCGGGGTTCACTTGAAACCTTTGGGAACTTTGACGCACTGAGATTCTAGAAGTCTTGTTGTTCTCTCTTTGCTACTGATAATTGAGCCGTTGCTGGAAATTAATTTCTCATTTCTAATTGAGCCATTCTCTTTGGTTCGTGCTCTGTAAACCAATGTTACTTGAACTTTTGTGAGTCAATATGATTATTCTACTGTGCTACCTTTGTTTTCAATCATGTTCTCTTTAATGTCATTCTACAGTTAATGCCTCAATTTTGTTTAGGTTCTAATCTTAGAATCATGAGTAGCTAATTAAGTTGATTTATGCTCTTTTTATATTTTCCCGGTTCGAATGTTAAACCTGATTAATGCTTGATATGAGTGTATCTTCATAATTTGCTTTGAATTCTTGTGTCAAAACTTTCTAGTAATTCATACTTGCCCAGAAACTGTTCAAATGTGCTCTTTCCTCTTCATGCTAAGTCACTCATGCACAACTTTCTACTTGTTCACTTTCTTAAAATGATCATGCCTATGTGAATGAACTTTTTAGACTCCATGTTTCTATGCTACATGTGAGCCTCAACACTGTACTATAGTTGCATGTTTTACTACAATTTTGTTGTCACAATACTGTTCTAAAGGCCATGCCTGCTAGCGCTAGGTTTGCTCAGTTTAATGCCTAGTGTTATCTTTGGTATGTATAATGGAACCTGTTAGATATGATCAACCTGCATT